TATGCTCACTTTCTCTTTTTTTTTCTGTAAAGTGTGAATCCGTTATTTAATTTCGCTATTTAGTCTAGTTCTGATTAATTATACTTTTGACCTACAGTAGATCATATTTGTATTTGCTTATTAGTGGGCTCCGCCCGGGAATAAAACTTACAACCAAACTTCTACAAAATTTTAAAATTCAACTTTGCACATTCTGATCAATGCATATAAGGTCAATACTGATGATGAATAAATTCCGCAAAACGTTCGTTATTGTAGGCTTGTTTAGAGTTTGATGTATGGTGACAAGATCAGATGAAGGGTGTCGGGAGAAAACCATAGACGTCACAAAATTTTTAAAATTGAGTTAAACACTCCATTTTGTAGATTACGGCAACTAATGTTAGCTCATATATTAATATAGGAAGAAAACGCTGAATGTCTCGAGATATTACACTTTTAAAATATCCTATATAGGGAGAAAACCGGGGATGTCCGCGCGTAAACGGCGAAAACAGTGTATGTCCACTTAGGAGGATCTGGTAAAGTTAAATTTTATTTCTGTTGGCACCCCTGGTGTTTTCTAACCGGAGAACGTATGCAGTAGGCTGGATGACCCTGGGATGTGTCGACGAGTGCTGGCGGCTGGCGTCAAGTCACACAGAGAGGTGTGTTTGGTGCCATATTGGGCAATATATAAACATTTTGCGAAGCTGTATGTTTTATTTAAACTAAAACATACCCAAGTTCTCATTTCCATATGTGATTTGTTTTTAGTTGTTAAGTGTGTATGCACGTGGTCGGATCGTTTTCGTAGATATACTAAACAAAGTGATACAAGAGGTGTTTAATATTGTTTACAAATAGTTGAATTATAATGGCAGAAATCAAGGCCATTGGTTTTAAAAACGAAAAAGGAAAGAAAAAATGGGCAGGTTATACGAAGTAATGAAAAAAATCAGGCTCCAATCTCACGAATTTGGTGATTTTTGCAAATGCAAACGTTTAAGGTGCACTGACAAAGTAAGTGACGATAAGAGAAAAGAAATATTAGATCATTTTAATTCCTTATTATCCCACAATGAACAAAACGCATACTTGTGTTCTCTAATATCGTTAGTAAATATTCAGAGGCGTTGATCTAGAGCCAAAGATCAGCATAATGCAATGTTCCACGATTCGGTTTATATGTACAGGGTTAGGATCAAGTCGGATATATGAGACAAAATGCGGAAGCACTATATGAGGAAGTACAAGTATGCGCTAAGTTTTTTTTGGCAGTACATGGTATTACGGGGAGTAAACTTCAGTATTTACAAAAACAGTTAAAAATGAGTGGCACAGCTCCTAAAGATCGAAGGGGTGGAGTAAACTATAACAAGTTAAAGCCGGATGTTCTAGATACTGTCCGCTGCCATATTCAGTCTTTTAAAGCACGAAAGAGCCACTACAGCTTATCTGACAATAGTGCCAAAACATATTTACCTGAAACTTTGAATATAACGAAAATGTTTTCCATGTTTAAAGATAAATATCCGCTAGTTATAAAGTTTCTTATCAAACATACAGAGAGATTTTTAAAAGGGACTTTAATCTTAGCTTTGGATATCCGCGGTCTGATACATGCAGCCAGTGTGACGAATTTAACGCAAAAATGAAAGCAATACAAACTCACGATGGAAATGAAAATAGAGAATTTGAAGAACTGAAGAATCTTAAAGAACTTTATCTCCGTAAGGCACAAGCTTTTTATGATAGAAAAAAGGCATGCAAAAGAAAGGCAAGAAAACAAAATGATTTTGAAGCTATAAGCATGGATTACCAAAAGAATGTTTCGCTACCAAATATTACGACGAATGATGTCTACTATCGTCGACAACTCTCGATGTACTCCTTTAACGTGCAAGTTTTATCAAGTGCTGACTCGTACTTTTATACTTACCCAGAGTTTATTGCTAAAAAGGGCTCTGATGAAGTATGTTCGTTTCTTTTCCATTTCATTATGAATTATTTGCCACCAGAAGTCCGACATGTCCACATTTTCTGTGACGGAGCAGGAGGGCAAAACAAAAACTACACGGTTGTAAGATTTATTCACTATATGGTTACGGTAGTTAAACGGCTTCAATCAATTACCATAACATACCCAGTTAGAGGTCATTCGTACCTTGAGTTAATTGCCTAATTAACCTTAGAAACAGAATGGAAACACCTACCGATTGGGAGGAAATAATCGCATTTTCTTGTATAAAGCCGACAACATTCCATGTCATTTCCGTATCTCAAAGTTTGGTGAGAGAATGGTGTAATTTTTTTAAAGAGAAATATGTTCAAAAATGTCCATTTGCGATGCAAAAAATGAAAGAAATATTTTGTATAAATACACATATTCGAACTATTTTCTATCGAGACTCGTACCATGGCATAAAGTTTGAAGATCCAATCCGATCTCGTGCCCAAACCCTAAATAATAAATTACAACCTTTCGAATTCGAATTACCTAGCCAGTCTTACTTCACATTCATTCCTATAAATGAGGAAAAATATAAAGACATACTGTTCTTATCAAAATTTTGCGAATCAGAAGACGCAAAAAAACTGTATGAATCCATTCCTAGCGAAAAAAAGAAAACTAACTCAAATAAAAATCCAGCAATACCAGGTTCATCGAGGGTAAAACCACCCACTAAAAGATTAGATATTATTGGTAAGAGATATTTCTAACATTGAAAGTCTAACAATAATAATGTTTTTTAGGTGGAAAAAAAAGAATGGTAACCGCGCAAAGAAAACTGAAGAACACAGGGTTCATCCACGGTAAAATCACCCACTAAAAGATTAGGTATTATTGATAAGAGATATTTCTAACATTGAAAGTTTAACAATAATAATTCACTTTAATAATATTTTTAGGTGGAAAAAGAAGGAACCGCGCGAAGCAAACCGAAGATCTAGCAACACCGGGTTCATCCAGGGTAAAGACATTCACTAGAATATGACATATCACAATATTGAAAATTTGATAAAATTCAATTCTATATTATTTCTAGATGTAAAACAAACACCGTTCGCGGTGCAGTTATTTGGCGAAGATATAAAAATAAAAAAGTGGCACTTCTTGTGAATAAAAGCACTTGTATGGAGACGGACACTCAGGGTTTTCTCCGTTAAAAATTGAACATAACCTAGATTTTTTTGTGTTTAATTAAGAACTATGTTATAAACACGCTTAGCTAAAACTGGCATTTAAAATAAATACATGTTTGCAAACTGTGTATTTTTTATAGATTTTTAAACACATTCATTCAAAACTTATAATATATCAAACTTTAAAATTCATTTCTCTCGAAAAGAATATTCTGTGACATCCATGGTTTTCCCCTAAGACCCTTCAGATATAATACAAAGTGTAACTAAACAGATACCTTGACGACAAACCAAATGCAAGTACTTTGAATGCAGCCAAAAGAGTTCTGAGATACTTTAATTCAACTAAAGAATATGGATTACTATTTACTAGAGCAGATAGAAGTGACCTTGTTTCTATGTGCGATGACTGATTGGGGAGATAGTAAAAATAGGAAAAGTGTAAATGATTTTAGAGCTGTTCACAATAACAACACCATTGTATAGTTTTCACGCAAGCAGACAGGTGTAGCTCTAAGCTCTATGGAAGCTAAATATGTAGCAACAGCGCAAGCTGTCCAAAAACAAATTGTGAACTTAAAAGGACTTTTGAACGAATTTAGTAAAAATGAGCAAAGTTTATTAGTGCAACAGTTTAAAGTTTAAGTGCTATATTATCTACTATGAGAAACCGAAAATTCAACAAGGGACACATTGTTATATTTCATATAATTTTTTTGAATGTGGTAGATAATGATTCAATACTGAAACTAAAAGAATTTCGGACTTTTATTGTCTTTATTTTAACATATACAACACTTCGGTTGGTTGGTAGGTAGATGTATCACTGAGATATAGAAGACTTAGATATAAAAGGAAAACTATATGAACACCTTATCCTTACTAAAAAAAACTAAATGAAGAACTCGATCGAAAAGAGACTCTTGCGCGCCAATATGGTTTCCGAAAAGGTAGACAAACAACACATGCGATCGAACATGTACTTCTTATTGCCAGATAAGTAGCAGATTGTGCGCCAAATGATGAAAATTATGCGCAGTAATTACTCTAGATGTGCAAAATGCGTTCAACGGTGCTTCGTGGCAGACCATTCTGGACGAAATGCAGAAATGGGGTATAAGTTTGTCTCTGACTAACAGATGGCATCTTATCTTTCTGAAAGAACAATTTTAATTGAAGATGATACTGCTAAAAGGCAGATTAACGTCACCAGCGGAGTGTCACAGGGGTCAGTACTTGAGCCAACACTATGGAATATCCAGTACAACGACCTACTGGAAACAGTTATGCCAGGAGTAACACTAGATGACGTAGCCATGGTGATAACGACCAAATACACTCATGAGTGTTGCTAATGTAGGACTACAAAGAATGGATTGAGCGCAAAGGTTTAAAACTAGCACCAAAACTGAAGCGGTTTTATTAACCACCAAGAGGAAACTCTCTCATATTTCATTTGAGTTTCTCGGTACGACAATTGCACCAAAAAATGCAACAAGATACCTTGGAGTTTGGCTTGATTCAAAGCTTACATTCGGCGAGCATATAAATCAAGTCATACGAAAGGCAGAAAGAACTTTAACCGCACTGGGTAGGTTGATGCCTAATATAGGAGGGCCAATTGCTTCTAAACATAGAATCCTAGCCTGTGTAGCACACTCTCAACTGTTATATGCCGCACCAGTGTGGAACTTCGCAATATCAAAGGAGCCTATATTTTGCCTTATATATAAGGCAAAAACTTAAAGCTATAAACTGACCTCAAGATCTGCAGTGCATATAGAACCGCCTCCGCTGAAGCATTAAAAACCATATCCGGGGTGCCCCTATTCATCTACTTGTAGAGGAGAGAAGAGAGAGAGATACAAAGAGACATGGAGGTAAGAAGCATACTGATGAACGAATGGCAAAAGGGGTGGGATTTAGATGGATATGGTAGATGGACAGATATCTCAGATCCAGACATTAATACCTGGTTGAACACTGGCGTGGTAGTGGCACTGTGCAAACACCTTTTTGTGCCAGTCCGCGCCAGCCTTGTGGATACGTCTAAGTACGTTGTGACAGTCACTGGTGTACCTAGGTATTGGCACCAGGCGTTGGCTTACTTCCGTAGTTTGTTGTTTAATTATCTGTCTTCTATGGTTTTAATTAAATTATTGAATTTGTAGTATAATGGCCAGAAAACTATCTAAAAACGACACTCTCAAATTTATTCAGCTTGATAGAGGATAAAAATGCTTGTAGGATATTAAAATATAAAAATAAACAAATGGCGTCAGAAAAAAAATCAGGAAGAAATTGAAGGAATAGGAGTGAGTATGGATAATATTAAAGCCAAAATAAAGAATATTAAAAGTACATACTATTTAGAAACGGACACAATTTAAAAAAAATACACAAGATCTGGTGCTGGGGGACACGTCTATGTATACAAAGTAAACGCCATCCTGTATTCAACGGGATCTTCCAATCGTAATTGTTTCATGAGTAAAGTCGAACCATAATAACGACTCCCTAGTAAAAACCTTTAATAAAATCTCCAGTACTAACGTAGACATTTTATGTATATGTTGCAGTAAAAGTTGGAAATTCAGTGATTGTTAACATTCACTAGGAAATGCTAACAATTACGCATTGGACCAGTGAATGTGGTATTTTAAAGAGATTTGTCGACTTTTCCTAGTAATTTCTAACATTCACTAGTGAAAGTAACATTTACTAAAGGTTGCCAGTAAAAGTTAAGCCGGAGTCTCATGCATCCGAAATCCGATGACACGACGATCCGACGGTGCTCCTATTGGTCGAAATATTTTGACAACAATTTTTATCCGATAATTTTAACTAACCATCCGACGTCGTATAATGTTAAATTTTGTTTAACTTTTGTACGATATCGTGTGTTTTTTAACCTCACTTTTTTGAAAACATTTGTTTTTAAAAACAAGTTTAGTGGGAAGTGGGCAATTTCGGGATATTTGGCGAGGAAGTTATTTTTATAAGCGTTTCTCCAATAAAACATGACATGAATCTCTATTGAGCGCAGCAGAAAAATGTTAAAACTGTCAAATTTCGGAACGAACTTTCGGATGTATGTGACAGGCTTTTTTTATTTCACACGATAACTTCAAATTTCGGATGTCGTACCATCGGATTTCGGATGCATGAGACTCCGGCTTTATTCTATTGCACAGGGCGAGTGTGGCGAGGAAGAATGTTGGTGAAAGTTAGAACAAATAAAACTTTTAAGAATATTTTATCACCTCAACATTCAAGGTGATCCACATATTTTAAAATTACAATTTACTTTTTTAGTATGTTTATTAAAAATTATAGAAAATCACGACATAACCTTCTAAATAGTAAAAGGGAAAACATAGTAAACATTCTAAAGCATACAAAACAATTAAAAAAAACATTCATAAATATAAGATTACTTATTGGTACAATGTTTTCTTCCAAACCAAACCAAACTTATCCTTATTTACTTTTATACTTCACAACATGTGGCAACCGCGCTAATGAATCTTTTAAACTCTACTAACTGCTATCGTCCAGGGAATGTTAACATTCACTAGTAAAAGTTGGTTTCAAAAATAGCTGTTGAACTTTTACTCACGTAGTCTTAGAAAATCAGTGAATGTTAGATTTTACTTGTAAATTGTTAATAATCACTGATTTCCAACTTTTACTGTAACATATATGGAGAAATTAAAATAATTTTGGTTGCACACAATCTAAATACGACCACCAGCAAACTCCATAAGATGACGCATGGTGTCATTGATGACGTGCAACGAAAGTTGTTTTAATTTCCCTTTTACATGGAATTTTTAAGGGTAGAGTTTTTTTGGAATTGATTTTTTTAAGTGACAAGCATGTGACTCCTCACAACTGACCACCGATAAAAAAAAATCAACTAACTGAACGCGTATAAACAACCTGAGCCATCAGTTCTGCCCGAGTCAAGAGCTGGCGTACCATTGAAACTGGCATCGCCTACTGTAGCCGTGTAAAAGACATAGTCCAGCGCAGCACCAATGGAAAGCTGGTGTACCAGTGGGACAGCTACTGGATAAGTGTAAATCTGCCTTTAGATCCTAGTGACAACTCTCATACCGTGCTGGCAACTGTTACTTTTGGGTCGGCATTTACATGTGTGGAAGTAAATCGCATAGGGATCTTATTAAGTCGGAGTGAGAGAAATGCGACCGACCGACGCGACGCGCAACGATGTGCTGTTGCGGCGTTGCCGATACGCCTTTCCCTATCAAGTAATGTAAAATCACGATCGCGAACCGCTTATTTTTAAAAGACTTTTTCAAGTGATAACTAGATAAAATCATTAGACATGTTTCTGAGCATCTGAAATGGAATTATAAGGATATCGTTAGGATCGTTATCGCGATAATTTAAAAACTCAACTTTTTAACACATAACAGGCCATAACTTAAGAACCACTTTAGATATTGAAACTTTTTTTTATTTTCAAGATCGGATATTTTACAATATGTTTACTTAAGAAAAATTCGATAAGGTTGTTTTTTCCATTCAAAAATTGTAAACAATACATCCATTTACTTTTAGAGCATAGCAATTTTCAGCAATCGTGTAATTTTTTTATTGATAAAGATTTTCACATACTGTATAGAAAGAAAATACAGCAGAAATATTAACAAAGTTCTTGAAAAAACTACAATCTATTATTTCTAATAGATCTCGAGTTATCGATTTTTGAATTCAGAGTTCTAATAGCGCGACCACTATCGAACACCCACTCAATTCCACTTATTTTTACCAAAAACGCAAGTGTTTCTAGCTTGCACTTAAAAAAATTCAAGCTATAGGGAAAAATACAACGACTCGTTAATAAATAAACAATCAAGTATCACGAGACGTAATTAAATCGTGAAGCTGAACGCATGACGTACACCTTTCCCTAGAACTTTAAGTACTGACAGAGGTATTGATTGGGTCGACCGGTCAACTGAGACAAATCTGCTATATCCCCTTCCCCGTCTCTTAGCGATGTGCACAGTTTCTCGGTTTATTTCATATGTTTGGCAACGTATTTACTGTCCTCTCTTTGTTCGGTACATTATAACGCATTGTACTCTTCTTACATACGGAAATCTCGACCCAAGACTAACCTTTGCCAGCCCTTAGTATATTAAGGACATTAAGTATAGATGATGATGCTATATAGATCGAAGACGCGTTCGACGCAAATGGGTTGCCACAACAGGTGTCCGATATATTAATGGCAACACTGTCGTTTTGTATGGTCAAAAACGTCAAAAGCGGGCAAAAATCTCTAATACTGTTAAGAGTTTTTTCTTATCAGGGTTTAATAAAAAGTTCGTTTTTATCCAAAAACCTTAGCGATTCTTAAAATATGGAGTACATATTTTTAATTTTTCTTCTCTTTTAAGTATAGTTATGACTATTAAGTGATGGCTAGATTATTTCAATTGCCACTTATCTTATTCATTTATCAAACATTTCGTCACAATCAGTACTTCATTACATCAGTCTGATAAGCATACGTAAAATATTTGTACATTTTCTGCTGAACGTTTATGTTCGATAATATTGATAAAAATATATAATTTATAGTATACCGAATATTTTAATTATGAAATTACAATCTCTTAGAGTCTTAAATAAGGGCAAATATTTTTAGGGTGGTATATTTCGAGCCCAGGAATACGCCTATGAGTTTTTTCGCAAAAAAAGTTGAAAACGTGCATTTTCTTTGAAATTTTCTTGTAAATTTTAAAAAACTTTTTAGAACTGCCTGCTCACCGCAAATTTTTCCAAGGTATAATTTTTTAATCTCTGATATTACCATGGTTACGGCTTTACTCTATGGTTACGGTACTAAATGGGATGCAAATTCAGAAAAAAAAATACCCTCTTGTATTAATACATTTTTCGAAAATATTAAATAACTAACCATTATTTTTGTTATTTCATGCAGGAATCGGAACACAAGATAAAAAGCCGTGATTTCTAAATTTTTAAAATAAGGTTTAGAAATATGAATATTAATAGGTATACATACAGTATAATATTATATTTTATTGGAGACAAAGGGAACTAAGAAGTGCTTTACAAAAAAAACTCACCAATATGGGCTGTTGAACAAGTATTTAACACTGAATTCTAGAAAAATGGTATTTTTTGATATCAATGTGAAAATAATTCGTAGAATATTGACACAATTATTTATATAGAAGAATATAGAACTTTATTCGAAATTAGTTAAAAAAAATGTTCAAAACGAAATAATTTTTCAAATAAGTCTTCCACTATGTATAAAATAACACCAAACATAATTCCATCATTTATTATCAGAGACTGCAAAACACCTCAAGAACGTTTTCGTGCTTGTCACTCACTTAAAACGAAATGGCAGGATGAACATTAAAATTTAGTTAAAAATTGATTTCAGATTTATCAAAAAGGGACAAATATATGGTTGTTAGTAATAAATTAAAATGAGATAGTAAATAAAAGCTGGTGTGCGACCGCGCTATTGGATGTACAAGCTACACTGAGAAAAATAATTATTAAATGTCCCGAGAGTAGATCAATAATAATTAATAATAGTGATAAAATAATTATAGAACTAATTATATTGTAACATTTTAAAAATGCGTTACGTTATTTTTTAATATCTAATGTAAAAGATCAATCATTGATATATATCGGATATATATCATTGATATATATTTTTTTATTGAAGTAATGCCGAAAGGTAGTTCCTTGGGGAGATACTCAAAGCGGTTTGTGGAGGTTTTTTAGTCGGTAAGGTACCTCAACCACCCCGACAGTACCACTTACGGTCTCTGGTTTGCAGATTTTTCCCCCACGAAAAAAAAAAAGTAACTAATGACTGTATTGTTTTGAATTGTGTTGTGTATTTTTAATATTATTGATTTTTGATGTTTTTTATTTTTATAGTACATACATGACAAAATTTATATTTCTGTATGACACATTTTATTATTTTTTATTGTTAGTTAAGAAAGGAAAAACGAAAAATTGTGATATTTTATATTTTTTTAGAATAAAGTGCCTGAGAAAGCCCACCATGATGAGGCGAAACGTCGCATAATAAAAAAAAAGTTTCCATTTTCAATTAATAAACCCAACTAACTCATACCCAAGAAAGGAAAAAAATATATATATGGATTTAAACATAAAGAATCTGTACTGGCTAGCGACTAAAAATTTAAGAAATTTACTGAACCTTATACTAAAATTAGAACTCTATAAATCGTAGCTTCATCGACTCCCGTGATATTTGAACTTAGTTCTTTTTTCTAGTTCACTTTTAGCAACATCTTCCCTTGCATAGAATATTTAAGAGAAAAAGACATCGTTATTGAGAACTTGGGTATAGTTTTTTGCCCTGCGACAGGTCATTTGCTCTAGTTGAAAAAGGAGAAAGGAAGTTAGATCTGACAGAAGAATGAAGTCGCATGATTGAAAACACCAGTAAGAAATTTACAGTTAAAACCGTTAAACAAGATATCATTCTAAACTATTAAAGAAGTTCTTGAGTCCCCTTTTTAATGAATGACAAAACATATTAAAAATACTTCTGGCATAAAATTCACCCTAACGAAATATTAAGTTATTGAATTTAGTAATGAACATAAAGAAACTGTTACATGTTCAGAGTTAGTGAATGGTTTACTGACTGAAGATTTTGTTCTACTACAGAAATTTGGGGTATCGACTTTTCCGGGTATACAAAATAAGCCCCTAAATAATGACCCATTGCCTGTAAAAAGGAAAATATATGTTAAATGTCTTGGAATAGACCAGGCAATATGTTGGTGATGCTAGTTACCAACAAATTGTACCTGCAGAGATACAATATTCAGAAGAACAGAAACAGATGATGAAGGCCAGTAACCTATGAAGAAAATTGACATTTTATTTAGTTTATTAACTTTTTGTATCAAAATTACTTATAAATAACACAAAAATATTTTTTTTGTATATTTATTGGCAAAAAACAGGCAGCTCCAATTTTTTATGTTTTTTATTAAAATATGATATTGACAATATTTAAAAAGGTAAAGGTGTGGATCCGGTGGCTGACCTTGAAGCCCATATTTGCTGCTTTTGATCATCGATACTACGCAAGCGCACATCGTCGATGTTGCCAAATTGCAGTTTATTTTCGAATTATTTGCAGTTGAAATTTTTTTTTTCGTGTTAATCAAATAATACAAATTCTATAATTTCAGATTTATCTTGATATCCAAAATTAAGGTAAGAAGGATAATGAAGATTGTGAAATGAAAGTATTATAATATATAAAATTGTAATAATAATAACATTTATTTATATGTTTACATTAGAATTAAAATTTATCATTTACGGATTTTTTCTTAATGGTTTTAAACTTATTAGAATTATTTTATTTCTTTCAAGTTATTTAATTTCTAGTTATTTACAGGCAACAATATTTTTTTGATTATATGCATGTATTGATGTTTGAAGTACTACCATGACGGGTCTTATTATAGAACAATAAACGTCAATCGGAGATAGAGTAACATTTTACCTATTATATAATGTTACTAATATAATATACTTTGATTATAATTAATGTTTGTATCATAATTTCTTAAAATATCAAGCATAGATATCAAGTTAGTGGATTTTATCGAAGAGTGTGTTGATAAGACTAAAATAAGCTTTATGTTTATCTTTTTCTCTTTAGAAGGGAGATGGTTGTGTCGTAAAATACATTACAGTATTTAATATCGTGTACTGTTATTCTTTTCTTAATTTACTGTAATTTCTTGTTTCCTATAATGCCAAATCTTGACAATATGGTGAAGGTTGAGTTTTGATCTTATTAGTTTTATAAGAATAATAATAATAATAGAAATACAAGACTAAATTAAGACTTAGTTTGTGATTTATATTAAGATCTTTCTTATAATATTTGTTATGTCTTCATCTTAATACTATATTATGCTTGGTCTGGAAAATAAATGTTAAAATATCTTAATTTTGCATATCCTATTCATCCTTCCATTAGGAAAAATATGGTTTATAAATCATATATGCTAAGAAAATCACATAAATTAGGTGTAAGAATAGAGAAATCTTAATGTAGCAGAAAAATTAATGCAATATATGTATAAGCAGAATTAAACAAGGTAACTGTTAATGTTGCTGAAGCTGATTCTACAATTTTAATTACGGAGGCTAAAAGGCCTTTTAAGGCCTCCGTAGTTTTGATGGAATGTTAAAAAAATCTATTATGAACATGACATGGAGCTACAGCATTTAAAAATTAAAAAAAAAGAAAAAATTTGGACATATCCTTTTTAATTTCCCGAATTTTTAATAAAGCACTTTTTAAACGTAGCATAATAATCTTTTTAAACGTATCATAATTTTATAATTTCAGATTTATCTTGATATCCATAATTAAGGTAAGAAGGATAATAAAGATTGTGAAATGAAAGTATTATGAATATATAAAATTGTAATAATAATAACATTTATTTATATATTTACATTAGAATTAAAAATTATCATGTACGGATTTTTTCTTAATCGTTTTAAACTTATTAGAATTATTTTATTTCTTTCAAGTTATTTAATTTCTAGTTATTTACAGGCAACAATAGTTTTGATTATATGTATTGATGTTTTGAAATACCGTATGATCGAATAAAAACAGCGTCAACGATGGCTATGAAATGAAGATCGCTGTCATTTTATATGTAAAATTATACAGGGAATGGCATGAATCGTCATTTCCAAGCCAACTGGACGCCGTTTTTTCGATCATACAGTATCACCATGACGAGTCTTATAGAACAATACACGTCAATGGGAGATAGAGGTAACATCTTACCTATAATGTTACTAATATAATATACTTTGATTATAATGTTTGTATCATAATTTCTTAAAAATATCAAGTTAGTGGATTAATAGCAATTTTAGACATATATTTTATCGAAGAGTGTGTTGATAAGATTAAAATAAGCTTTATGTTTTATCTTCTTCTCTTTAGAAGGGAGATGGTTTGTGTGTAAGAATACATTACAGCATTTAATATCGTGTACTTTGATATTCTTTTCTTAATTTACTGTAATTTCTTGTTTGCTAATGCCAAATCTTGACAATATGGTGAAGGTTGAGTTTTGATCTTATTAGTTTTATACCTGTGTTTATACAAGACCAAAGTGATTTATATTAAGATCTATTTTATAATATTTGTTATGTCTTAATCTTAATACCATATTATGCTTTGTCTGGAAAATAAATGTTAAAATATCTTAATTTTGCATATTCTATAGACCTTTCCCGTTAATCGGATTTTCAGCGGTCATAATGCGCGGACAGATTTGGCGCCGTTCAAATCTGGTTATAAACGGAGTCTTTAAAGGCTAGGGATAAAAAGAAATGTATCTAAAGAAATGACGGAGCACGGATGTCGTAACTTATGTCTGTAGGATTTATGGTATACATAACCCTACTTATTTTGTTTTCAATTTTTGTTATTTATATAAAATTTATGGAAAACTGGTTGTTTTAAAAGAAAACAAGAGGTAGAGGAAGATCCAACCATCAGTCAAGATGAAACTGTTGAAGGGATTTGGAGTAATGCTAGCAGCGATGAGCCGTCAACTTCAAGTTTTGTTCCCGTTGCGAATAAGAAAATTAAAATTAGAAAATATTGCCCAGAATATTTATCCTATGGTTTTGCTTCCACTGGGGATCCTAGTGCGCCAAACAGCCAGTGTGTAATTTGTTTTAAGACTTTCAGCAACAGTTCATTAGCTCCAGCGAAACTTCTAAGACACTTACAAACAAATCATAGTGAATACAAGGACAAACCTGTGGATTTTTTTCAACGCAAGTTAGTGGAAATGAATAAAAGTAAAAAGAATTTATCGTCTTTAGTGGGTAGCAGCATTAATGAAAAAGCATGTAAAGCCTCATTTCAAGTAAGTTACCGCATAGCTAAGGCTGGAAAAGCGCATATAATTGCCGAAACACTTATTAAACCTTGTTTAATAGATGTTGTCGAAACCATGATTGGTGAAAAGTTTAGTAATAGTGTAAAAATGCTGCCACTTTCAAACGATACTGTTCATAGGAGAATTTATGAAATTAGTAACGAAATAGAAAATACAGTTATTCAACGGATAAAAGGTAGTGGTTGGTATGCACTACAGCTTGATGAAACAACAGACGTGGCAGGGTGTGCAGTATTGCTTGTTATTGTGAGGTACATACACAACAACTCTGCAGAAGAAGAAATGTTACTTTGCAAACCTTTGAAGACCCATACAACCGGCGAGGAAATTTTTAAGATGATCGATTCTTATATCACTGAAAAAGAACTTAATTGGAATCAGTGCATTAATATCTGCACTGACGGTGCAAAAGCAATGACTGGTAAATATTCTGGATTTGTTGCACGTGTTAAAAATGTCGTTCCAGAAATTGAAAGTAGCCATTGTATTATTCATAGACAAGCATTGGCAGTAAAAAAAATTCCTCCCGTTCTTAAAAACGTTTTGGATGAAGCAGTAAAAATTGTAAATTTTATAAAGTCCAGGCCTCTAAATTCACGAATTTTTGCTGTTCTTTGTGAAGAAATGGGTAGCCAATTCACCACGCTTTTGCTTCACACCGAAGTGCGATGGTTATCGCGAGGAAAAGTATTGGTTCGCCTGTTTACTCTGCGAAATGAGGTGATGGTGTTTCTTAATGACTCTTCATTTGAATTATCATCAAGAATAACTGACATCAAGTGGTTACAATGTTTGGCATATCTTGCCGATGTCTTTTCAAGCCTTAATGAATTAAATTTATCACTCCAGGGAACTTCTGTAACAGTAATCTCCTTATATGACAAAATCCAGGCCAAGTTAAATAAAATACAGTTTTGGGAATCGTGTATAAACAGAGGAATCTCGGAGTGCTTTCCTACACTGCATGATTTTGTGTGTGAGTCGAAGACTGCATTGTCAGCAGAAATCACTTCGGAGATAATAAACCATCTTCAGAACCTACAAGTTTCAATCAGAGAATATTTTCCAAGACGAGAAGAGGATCTTGATTGGGTTCGCAATCCATTCTCAGTCCCAGTCGAAAAGTTTCATCAAACCCTAACTGTAAAACAAATTGAACAACTTATTGATGTTGCTGCCGATGGAAACCTTAAAACTACTTTCAACTCGGCTACATTGTTGCAGTTTTGGGCCCAGCTTAGAAGTGAATATCCAGAATTAGCCAATTTTGCTGTTAAAAAATTGTTGCCGTTTGCTACAACTTACCGTTGTGAAGTAGGGTTTTCGAAGTATGCTCTTACAAAAACCGACTTAAGAAGTAAACTTAATCCTGAAGCAGATATGCGGATACAACTTTCAAACATTGAACCCGATATCGACAAACTTGTATCAAACAAACAGGCCCATCCTTCGCATTAAGCTCATAAAAAAATATTTGTAATGAATATTTAAGTGTTTTACTGTTTCTGAGTTATTAATATATTATGTACTTAATTCTTACATTTTTTTATTTACTCTTAATTTAGAAGCTCAATAAGTAGTATTAATATCGATATATTGACACAAAACCAAACATGCACTATGTCTTATATTTAAGAATATAGTGTAGGGGTTCCCTAGAAAAAAAAAGTGCACTCTAGGGTTCCTCACTCTACAAAAGATTGAGAAACACTGCTCTAACCAAACTTTATCTCCAAAACAAAACAAAATTGACAAATACGGATGACAAGCCACATGCAACAAGCTAGGACCTACGATCTTTCAGTCTAGCAAACTTAACTTCATGCGCGCGCATTATGACCGCTGTTTTCGATTAACGGGAAAGGTCTATTCCATCCTTCCATTAGGAAAAATATGGTCTATAAATCATATTATGCTAAGAAAATCACATAAATTAGGTGTAAGAATAGAGAAATCTTAAGGTAGCAGAAAAAATAATGCAATATATGTATAAGCAGAATTAAACAAGGTAACTGTAAATGTTGCTGAAGCTGATTGTACAATTTTAATTACGGAGGCTAAAATGCCTTTTAAGGCCTCCGTAGTTTTGATGGAATGTTAAAAAAACTATTATGAACATGACATGGAGCTACAGCATTTAAAATTTAAAAAAAAGAAAAACTTGGACACATCCTTTTAATTTCCCGAATTTTTAATAAAGCACGTTTTAAACGTAGCATTATAATCTAGAGCAATTAGATTAATTATAGGAATCTAGAATTTTATTTCTATTTAATTTTATTGACTATGAAAATACATAATAAGCATTCACGTTTCATATGTTGTGCGAAATATTAAAATAATAATAGAAATAATATACCGCGTACTATGATTGAAAAAAATAGCGTCAGCGATGACTATGAAATGAAGATCGCTGTCATTTTATATGGGAAATGTCCTCAATCGTCATTTCTAGCCAACTAGACGCTGTTTATTCGATCATACTGTATATATTGACAAAACACACTGAAAAGCACATATTTGTTTTCTACTGAAAATAATTCCAAAATAACTTGCAATCTGGCAACATCGAAGATGTGCGCCTGCGTAGTGTCTGTGACTATATACAGCAAAAACTCGTTTCAAGGTCAGCCACCGGATCCACACCATTACCTTTAAAAAAAAACTACGTAAAAACTTCTATTTTTAATCGAAATAATATAATAATTTTAGTCAAATGGCTGTTACCCTGGGTCTGATGAACTTAATGCAGAGAATAAGCATATATGTAGGGGTTTCAAGGCCTTAATTTTTGCTTCTTTTATTTTGTTTATTTATGTAAATCCTACCAAGCCTCAGCTCCATCTACGGTAACGTAGATAAAGTAAGTTTGTTTGTCCAGTAGGCCGCTGGTTTTATTTTTGGCGGTACGATCTGATTGTCACAGCTGCCGCTAGATGGCGTAGAGCGTCTAGCACTCGCCGTAGTAGTACGTTTGGACATAGCTCTAACAAAAATTATACTAGCGACAGCCGAGACAGCAGTTCAGTTGAGTACCGCGCTTCGTTCAGTGAACATCGCAGCCCTCACCAGTGTTGCCAATCTGTGTGGAATTCCACAAAATGTGTGGAATTTCCTCGAATGTGTGTAATTGGTGGGGAATACTCAAATGTGGGCGTTTTGTGGGGAACTTAAATACTCAAAAAGAAGAAAATTGTAAAGCGAAGCAAATAGAGTTTTAAAATCAGTGATAAAAACAAAATATCGATAAATATCGCCCGGCTCTAGTTTAAAAACGCGAAACGGGCCGCGTATGAATAGCATGTACTGCCATCTACCGTGCGTGCTATAACTATGTATAACGAAATCGCCTCGTCTCTTTTTAATAACACTACTTAATAAATGATAGAAATATAACTCAGTGCCCAATGCACCCTCTAAAAGAATTTTAAATTTTAAACGTTAGACAAAGACGTATGGTGTTTTGGACGTATGGGATCCACAGGTTAGAGCACTCTTGGTCTGTGGAGCACTCCTGCTGTGCACTCCTGTGGAGCACTCCATAGGTGTTAGGTTCTAGGTTGTACGTGTTTAGCACAGGTGTTTAGCTAAAAATTGTGTGGTAAGTGTTTTACTAGGTCCTTTATTTATAGGTAATTCTAGTTTAAACTACATTATTCCAATCGAAAAGTAAGTGAATCTAGTTTTTGTTTTATTTTTCTATTGCTATAAGGTGACGGCGCGGCGTAGAAAAAAGGGAACGGGTGTAGGCATATACTTTACTTAGCCTTTCTGCATTTTAAACATGGATAACTGGTTAATTAAGAAGCCAAAATTAACAATTAATAGTCTTGAATTAGATGCAGAGAATCAGAATGTAATGGATGTGGAGGTTAGTTTTACCTGGCATTATGGGTTAGCAATATTAGCATTGCATAATAAAGTGGTATTGGTCAATTATAATACAATATGATCGAAAAAATACAGCGTCAACGATGGCTATGAAATGAAGATCGATGTCATTTTATATGTAAATTTCTATGGGAAATATCATCGATCTTCATTACGCAGCCAACTGGACGCCGTTTTTTTCGATCATACGGTATAATAAATTCAATCTTTTAGGATAATGGAAACACTGCAAGTAGGCCTGAATTAGACGATCAAAATCTAATAGATGTAGAGGTTAGTTTAATATGGTTATTAGGTATGACATGGTATTTTATATTTTATAGTTTTGGTGTACCTACTTTTAAAAAAATTATAAACATTTAATTTGCATTGAAAAACCTGTTAACAAGGTATATCCTAAAATCAAAATAAAACAAAATTAACATTTTTTAGATCAGTGACAATGAGAAGATTGCTTCATGTAGCTCAGTAGAATCGACGTTAAAAACAACTCAATTAGAGGTGTCAAAAAATCTCATTTAATATAACAAACTTGGCTTTTACTAAACTTGTGTTTTAGGGCGAATCCCAGAATAAAAAACCTTCAAAAAAGAAATTAAAAACTGGCGAAGCAAAAAGATATTACAAATTTATTAATTCATGGTTGCAGGAGCCAAAGTTCAAAGACTGGCTTATTAAACTAGAAACCACAACCAATAATAAAAACGAGTATGCCTTTTGCAAGGCATGTAACATGTCTTTAGTTGCCCATAAAAAAGACTTATATAGACATGAGTCAACTGAAAGGCATCAAAACAATATTAGACAAATTGCGGGTAATTCCAAAATAACAGATATATTGACAAAGCGGGGAGGAGAGGCCACTAAACGAGCTGAAATAAAATTATGTGGTCTTCTTGCCTCTAACAACCTGCCATTTCTACTTATGGATACTCTTGCGCCATTATGCTCTAATATTTTTCCAGACTCGCAAATCGCTAAAGACCTCAACTTAAAAAGGACCAAAGCAGCGGCGTGTGTGAGGGAAGCATTAGGCAAACAATTTAAGAAACAACTTAGTGCTGAACTTCAGAAACCCGGCTGTTTTTTTTCCATAATTATGGATGAAACTACGGACAAGAGTACTTCTAAACAATGTGCCTTTACCATTATATTTTTTAAAGAGTCAGTTGAAACTAGATTTTTTGATATGGTTGAGGTTCCAAATGGAGATGCAGAAACTCTCTTCAATACATTAAAAGATGTAATCGCTAAAAAAGATATACCGTTTTCAAACTTGGTAGGATATTCCTCCGATACTACTAATGTAATGTTTGGAGAAAATAATTCGGTTGTATCGCGATTAAAAATTGAATTTCCAAATATTTGTTGCATAAAGTGCTCTTGTCATTTAATTCACTTGGCATCATCAAAAGCCTGTCTTAACTTACCGAGGTCTATAGAGGATCTTCTGCGTAACGTGGGGGCTCATTTTAGTAGGAGCGCATGCAGGCAAGAAAAATTTCAGGAGTTTCAAAATTTTTTTAACGTTCAATTCCACAAAATAAAACTCCTTTCTAATACAAGATGGCTTTCAATGCAAGGCTGCGTCGATAGATTCTTAGAACAATTTGATGCTCTAGAAGCCTATCTTACTGATTTAGTATTTACGGATCACTCAAGGACAACTGAGGATATGCTTTCTATCATCAAAAACAAGTTTACCCGTATCTATTTAGAGTTTATGTCCTACGTGCTTGGTATTCTAAATAATTTTAATATTTTATTCCAGACCGAAAGCCCCTTGTTACATAGGCTGAAACCCGAAACAGAGTCCCTTTTAAAAACTTTATGTTCAAATTATATAAAGATGTCAGTGGTGAAAAACACAAAAAATATTTTTCAAATTAATCATGAAAATCCACATTCTTTTGTGGAGCATGAAAACATGTATTTAGGCATACAAGCCACAGAATCTTTAAGTAATGTTAAAGATCATGTTTCTAAAGAGGACCTGTTGCGATTTTATACAAGCTGCCTCAATTTTTATATTAAACTGGTTAGTGAAATTAAAAAAAGGTTTCCTTTTGATGATAGTGTTTTTTCTTTATTAGAAATACTAGATCCGTTAAGAGCACAATCATTTGAAACTAAGAGCTTATATAAGGTCTTGGAAAGGTTTCCCATTTTAAGAGAATATGTGGACCCCCAGGAGCTCGATAGCGAGTGGAAGGCCCATGCATTATTGAATTTTGCAGAACATGGTTTACAATTACCCATTGAAAGTGCCGAAAAATATTGGGTCAAAGTGTTTGATTTAAAAAATACGATCAACGAAATTTTATATCCAAATTTGAAAGTGGTTATATCTTTTTTACTTATTCTTCCATTTTCTAATGCGTCGGTAGAAAGAATATTTAGTTCTTTAAATGACATAAAAACCGATACCAGGGTAAATTTAGATAATTCCACTATGGAAGCCCTACTACATACTAAACAGGGTATCAAATTAAATGGTGGAATTCTTAAATTTGAACCCGATAAAGAAATGTTATCCACTAACATTTGGAAAAAATAAAAATTATAATGTTACCATTTTTTATAACTTTTTTAGGATTAGTTATATATGTTTTATGTTTGTTTTTCCTAAATAAATCTTAAAATTTTTATTGCAATTTTAATACGTTGGTCATATGGTCAATACCTACTCAAGACTGTCAACTGTCATTAGTGTCAATGTTTCAAAATCGACCTAAAAATACATGTGTGGAATTGTGTGGAATCACCCTAGGTTTGTTGGGGATAATCGGTTCAAGCAGTTGGCAACGCTGGCCCTCACAGTAAATTCGCGCTCGGTTTGTACCGCGCCGGCACACAATGGATCGAAGCATAGGAAGATAGGGACATTGGCTGTTTTTGAAGAGTTCCAAATTTAAATATTTTTTTACATATTTGTGTTAAAGAGATATTCTAGTCTTGTAAAACATATACAGTATGTCTGTTTGTTATTTACTTATTGAGCATATGAGCACCATTTGAAGTAAATTGAAAAATCATTCAAATTGGTAGATAAAGAGTCTTACATTTGATTGTAATTTTAAAATGGATGTAAAAGATATTTGTTTGTTATATATAACGACTTATTAGAAGCGTTCTTGGGCTATAGTATTGGATTGTTAAGTTTAAAAAAAAGTGACACCAGAAGTGAAAAACTCATTTGTTTTTTATTTATGTCATTAAGACTTAAAAATATAAAGTTTTCTTGAATTACAAAAAAATGTAAGCGGATGTAAGTGGAGATATTACGTGCAATGTAAAGAGCCACCTTTACTAGCACATATCATAAAAAAATTGGCTGCCCCAAAGTGCCACTGCAAAAAATATAATGTTTTTAATGTCAAAATCCTTGAGTTTATGCAATGCACGCACTGTGCACCATCAAACAATTTGTAATTTGCCGATATAGGTAAGTATATTCGTCGAAGAACATTGGAGTGGGACTGAATTACAATACAATACATAAGGCATATAGGTTGAAAGGCCCAGAAATGTTTTCGTTTTGGTATTCGGTATTCGGCAATTTGTCGAGTTTGCCGTGGACGCGCATCACGCGTTGCTTTGCAGAATATATTTGCAATTTTATTTTAGATTTAGAGAGGAAATGGGTTTGATAGTCGATGTCCTTAAACAGGGACGGGGCACAACTAACGATGGAAACACTGCGAGAAGATTTTTCCGAAACTTCGAAAAGTCATAACAAATTACAGGAATCGATGAATTGATTGCTGGAAAGACTATATACATTACTCCAAGTTTTGGTTTCAGGAAAAAAAAATAAATGCCGAAAAGTTTAATAAATTTGCAAAAGAGACTGCAGAAGAGTTAACCTTTATGGATGGTATTACATGCCATCTTCTCTACACAAAATTTTGATACATGGAGCAAAAATCATCAGCAATTTTTGGTTTCCGATAGGGCATCTGTCTGAAGAGACCTCAGAGTCTAGGAATAAATACTTTCGGAAATATAGAGAATGCCGTTCAAGAAGGTCTAACAGAACTTTTTGCAAATGAAGACATTTTTACATAATCTTTTGTTGTCTTCCGATCCATATATAACTGATATGCGTAGCTGTGATAAAATTCATAGCGATTTAACAGAGAAAGCAATATCTCTTTTGTTATAATATTTTTGTTTTCTTTTTTATTTAGAGATTAGTTCTTTTGTGAGTCACCCTGTATATTTTGTTAACTATTTGGCCATATTAATTTAGATTTAACAGAGAAAGTAATTTCTCATGTGTTATAATGTTTTGTTTTCTTTTTTGTTTATAGATGAGCTCTTTTTGTAAGACACCCTGTATATTTTTTAAAATATCTGGTACAAAAGGCCATATTAATTTAGATTTAACAGAGAAAGCAATTTCTTTTTTGTTATAATATTTTTGTTTTCTTTTTTGTTTAGATATTAGTTCTTTTTTGAGACACCCTGTATATTTTCTAAATTATATGGTACAAAATGCCATATTAATTTAGATTTTTGTTGTATTTATTGAAGTGGTACATAAAAAACAGTAAAATAAAAGTATTAATTACGAAATAAGTCAATGTCCCTATTTTCCTATGCTTCGATCCATTGTGCGGCAGTGTAGTGTATTAGTGTAGTGATTTATCCCCAGGAAAAATTTTCGGGTAAGTGAATACTTTATATTATTATTATTCTGTCATCGAATAACCTCTCCACATCCCTGGACATCGTCCAGGGACCCACAAAAATGAACCCTAGTGGTTCAGTAAATTCATCCCAATCTCCCATAAATGACATTTCAATGGAATCAGACGATTCCTCTATTACTCCTTATATATCAGATTCGAGTGAACCCACGTTCTCCCGTCCTCCCAGAGAAACTAGACCAGTATGAGGCTCAATTCCTCGAGCTCATGATCCAATTAAATAACCTCCGCGAAATTCTCGAATCAAATGGCCGTATACCCCCAAAAACAAAAAACTTCGTCTGAAAAGCCAGAGGATCCTAACGTAAAGAGGAAGGTCCTTAGAAAGAAGAGGGCACGTCAGAGTAATTCTGACGACTCCCTCTCATCAATCCAAAACAATAAGAAAATAGCAGCGAGGGCTGCTTCCCCCCAACGAGAAAACTTCCCCCCACTTCCCACTCCAGGCCCATCTTCCACAGGTCCATCTTCCTCTGGTACCCCTGTGGTTGATCCTATAATTCCCCCCAGCAGTCCTGCTAGCCAGGTTCCTGCTGTAATTACTCCCTCTGCTGCTCCTCAAACGCAGCAAGAAAAACCCACAAAACAAATATCCACAAAGCCCACTCCGATAGTTTTGAGAGATACTCGACTATGGTCTAGTATAACTCGCAGACTAAAGGAGCAAAAAATTGTCATCAAAAGCTCCAAAACCGTGCAACACGGTATACAAATTAACCCAGCAACCATCGCCGATCACAGGCTAATAACAGCTTATTTTAGAAATCAGAAAATAAGCTATTATTCCTTCTTTCTCCTGAAGAAAGGGACTTAAATATCGTCATCAAAAACTTGGAAACTGACATCGAAAATGAGATGATCATCGATGACTTGACCTCGCAAGGGTTCGAAGTCAAAGAAATTCATCGACTTACCCGTAAAGGTAAGCCCCTTCCCGTAGTCAAAATTCGTATCCCGCGTAGCCAGACTCACATCTTCCAAGTCCAAACCGTGGCCGATCTCAGAGTCACAATCCAACCCCAACATCGTGGTAATGGCACTCGCCAATGCCACAACTGTCAACTTTTCGGGCACTCTGCCACGAACTGTTTCTGTCCACCCCGCTGTATTAAGTGTGACGGCCACCACAGCACCAAATCCTGCGAGAAAACAGCAGACACTGCCGCAGTTTGCACGAACTGTGGCGGTCCACACCCTGCAAACCACATCCTATGCCCAAAAAACCCCAACAACCCGGAAAATCGACCCTCTTCTAATAGGGACCGACCAAATGACACTAGTAAACCCTCTGGCTTTAGCTCAACCACCCAATCCTTTTCCTATGCAAGTGTAGCTAAAGGTAGCACAACCCCGCAGTCCGGACCTCCACCTCCCAGTCCAGATTTCCAAAAACTTCTAGCTGAGCAAATCTCAGCTCAAAACCTCTTCGGCCCCGCATTCCAGCGGCTTTTACTCGAGCAAATCCAAGGTCAAGTCCAAGCCGCAGTTGCGAACATGCTTTCCGGCATGCTCGCTACCCCCCTAAACCCCCAGCCTAAGCAATGACTTCCACTCATGCCAAAGGCCTCCTCATAGTCTCTTGGAATGCAAATTCCGTTTTTCCCAAACGGCTCGAACTTCTCGACTTCATCACTCAATCCAGTCCCGACTTAATACTAATCCAAGAGACTTACCTTCGCCCTCACACTTCCTTCAAATTTCCCAACCACCTTGTCTACCGCAACGACCGCCCTGACCGACGAGGCGGAGGCACCGCCATACTCGTCAAAAACACACATCGCCACACTCCCCTTCCAACACCCCTGCTCCGTTCCATCGAAGCAACAATAGTCCAAATACAAACATCCATCAGCCCCGTCGTTGTGGCATCCATCTACATCCCCAACCAGACCTCTCGCGAGGACACAAGACACGATCTCGAGGTACTTCTCTCCTCTACCAACTTCCCAATCCTACTTGCTGGGGACTTTAACGCCAGACATCGGCGTTGGGGATCCCGGCAAGGAAACCCCCGAGGAACGGCAGTAGCCGAACTCCTCAACGACCTCCCCATTCAGGGCCACTTTCCAAGTGACCCGACATGTTTCCCCTCGCACGGCCTACCATCGACCATAGACTTTGGACTTTCCCAAAACATAACGTCCCACATGTCAGTTTCAGTGCATGATGAGCTTAGTTCTGACCATTCCCCGGTGTTCTTTACTATCACTAATACCCACACTATCTCCACCCATAAAACACGAAAAACCACCAACTGGCAAAAATTTGCCAAAACTCTCCAAGAACACCCGCCCACCCTACCGCGCATCGCGGACGCCGCCTCGCTCGAGGCGGCGGTCTCCACCTTCACTTCAGCCATAACCCAAGCCATAGATCGAAGCACTTCAACAGTGCCAAATAACCCAAACAACCCCTTTCTAGCCCCCCCACATATCCGAGCCCTTATCCGAGAGAAAAACTGGCTCAAACGCCAGTATCGTGCCCGTCTCGACCCCAATCTAAAGCGACAGATTAACAGTCTGGTACGCGAGATTAGGAAAGAGCTCAAACTTTTCAGAGATGAAAGGTGGGAGAGCTTCCTATCTACGCTGGAGGACGATAAAAAGTCGCTTTGAAAGGTTCAAAAGCGAATGAGAAACACAAACTCACGCTACGTCCCCCCAATTCACGGCCTAAACGGAGTAGTCTATTCCGACGAAGCGAAGGCAGAGGCCTTTGCCGACTCGTTAGAACGCCAATTCCGTCCAAACCGAAACCCCGACGACGACATCGAATTCGATGAAGTCGTAGAAGATTTCTACGAAAACTTCGTAGCTCCCATTCCCCCTCTCCAGGCCCCTATCCCCCCAGCAACTCCTAAAGAAATTTCGTCCATCATCTCCACACTGCGCAGCAGAAAAGCCCCAGGTCACGACCAAGTAAACAACATCGCAC